TGAAACTGGGGCACTGGTTCAGTACTGACTCACAGAAAAGAATGTCATCCACTGAATCACTAACACCATTTCTTAACAGACCTTGTAGACCTTCAGTCTGAGACTGGATCAAATCCATCACTTAGCTTTTAAGATCAACAAGATCCTAGCCCATAGGTGCTAACAGGTGATGTGTATTTTTTTTGAAGCTTAATAAAGAAAGTACTGCAACTATCCATGAACACTTGAATAATCAAATTGAATCATTTTTCTCTCTCTCCTTATTTATGTATTTAATGAAAAGGTTCTGTAGTTTTTAAAGAGAGAATCGTTCTGATTGAAAAGAAAAAATGCATACACAGAATTAATTGTCTACTTTGAGCCTTGGCAAAACTACATGTAAGTAGCAACAGGTCTTATATCCACCCAGCTCCTGTTGATGTTAATCAAAAGTTTGTGTGGTGAAGGATTCCAAGATTGGACATGTGAGTTTTCCAAAGTTAGATATTAATGTGAGTTGACCTTCTACACATTTTGAAATTCTAACAACTTTTTTTTTAGGGGGGGGGGGGGGGGAAGGGGGAGGGATTGGAAACATATTTCCAGATTTGTAATATGTATGTGACGAATAACTATGAAATCTGACAGTTAGGTATCATAAAACAAGGGTTAAGCGAGGGGCAATGATAAACCACCCAGATATAAGAGTAAACATTTCTCAGCCTTAGCTTTTTAAAGAGATAATTGCTTATAAATTAAAAAGAGCAGATTTTCAGAAAGTGGTCAGCGTCTAGCAAGTTCAACCAAAATAAGAAAAAAAGGGAATGCCCTTTACATTTCCATGTACTTATTACTTTGTAGTTGAAATTAAAGAAGGGCAAACTAGGATCCAGGGATAGCACATGACAGGAACTTCAGCCCCATCCCCTCTTACCAACACCAAGGATAGAGGGTAAGCTCTTCACTCTGCCATTTCATCCTGCACCTAAGCAAACAGCACCCTCATGCCTGATTTTCCCTCCCCATTTTCAATCATCTATGCTGATTTCCAGCTAATAAATTTAGTCTTCTAGTTAGCAACCAGCTAGTTATATTGCCATGTTTCACACTGTGCCTCTCCAGCAGGTTTAGGGGCCTTTCCCATTCTTTTTAACAAGCGATTTTGGTGGAAGCATAATTTTCATTTGGCATATAAGGGTGCAACAACTAGTATCAGCTTCTTATCTGTAAATAAAATTCAGTTGTCCCTATTACCTTGGCTCAACTGGAACAATGAAGAATGACTTTGGATTCCCATATTTAGAAAGGCCCTTGTGCAATAACCATTATCTGTTGTTTGAGAATAATTCATTATCCTGACAAATTCTCTATGTGACTATTATAAACATTCAGAGTTATCAAAGCACAAAAAAGTGGATTCACTCTCTTGACCTTTGGTCTACAAGTTGACAGATTTCCTTATCTTAACAACAACAGAGCAAGGGACAAGGCTAGAGATGCACAGAAAAGGAGCAGGTATGTGCGGCCTTACCTGATCTGTCCTCGCACCAGAGGTCTGTTCTTTGTCCTGTTCATATTTGAATCAAATGGAACCTCAAAGAACTGAATAAAAGAAAAAGAGGAATTAAAAGGGTGCCAGAGACCATTCCCATCACAGAATTAACTGTCTGTTTGCAGGTGCTTTAAGTTTTCATTTTTGAAGGTACAGAGCTACAATTAAAATGGAAACTTTCTCTTATATTTGCTTTGATAGTCTACATTAATATTTTTGGCATTCCCTTAAAAACAAAACTACCTGGAGGACAAACATATTTTGAACGTATTACACGTTTGAAGAAAAGCTTCACTTCAAATTCTACTTTCAACAAGTATAGCATGCACACACATACACATGTACATGTAAAAGCAATAATTCCTAGCTGTATATTGTGTAAACAGCCCTTGCAAACTGTATGCTTCTTTTTTTTTTTTAAAGAAAGATTAATGCTATAACTATTTTCAAGATCATCCAACTTCTGAGAACTCATGACCTACCCAGAACTCAACCAATTCTTGTAAATGCTGCTGCAACTGCATTTAGCATATAGTGCTAACAGCAGTAAATGAAGAAGCCACATGAAATTAATTCATGTGGCAGCTCAACTTAATTTTAACCACTGCCTATGTGAAAATTAACACTGTCATCATACTATGACCTTCCCTTTTTTTTTTTTTTATCTGACAAATACCAATCCTTTATTGCTAAAGCCAAGCCCACCTTTCCATATCAAAGACTTTATAAAGCTATTTAGATTTTAGCATGCAAAAAAAATTACAAAGTAACCAGCATCGCAGAATCATGAAAAAGTAGGGCTGGAAGGGACCTCTCTGGAAGTCATCTAACCCAACCCCCAGCCCAAGTTAGGATCATCCCCATCCAAACCATCCCATACAAATCCTTGCCTAACCTATTGCTAAAACTACACAAATCATCCCTATTGCACACACAAGGCACAATATCCTAACCTAGCACTGGTAAAGCAGGGGACAATGGAGGTCAGTGTTTTGTTGCTCCACAGGTTGTTAAAATATGCTTGAGAGATCCAAGGAAGAGGGTCATGTACCCCACTACAGATAAAGGCAACCCCCCTCTCCCCCCCACACACAGTCTGTACCAATTTGGCCCCGGGGTAAAAGTCCTTCTTGAACTCAAATATGGCGATCAGTCTGACTCCGAATGGAGGTGGAAGATCCTCTAGCCAAGAACCTCTGGGTTTTGGCCCCAGCAGGAATATTGGCATACCTTAGTCAAGATCCCTAACCTTGGCTTCAGCCATTACCCAATGCTTCTGAGGAAGGTTAAAAAACTCCTGACATGTAGCAAGAGGAAAGGGGGAAAAATCCTTTCTGGTCCCATGCAGCAACCAAAGCCCAGAAGCATGGGAAAGTATAGGTATAGCTACTCCTAGATCATCCCTGATCAATCCTTATCCAATTTCTTCTTGAACACTTCCAATGATGAAGTTTTTATTCTACTGCCTCACTGTTCTAACACTAAGTTTTTTCTGATACCCTTTTGGCAATGATTCGTTGACACAGCAAAATGTACTGGACACCAATTTACAGGTATGGAATTAACTCTGCCTAATAAAGCTGGACTCTTGAGGCAAGATATAAGTTATGTGGGATATAATTATGTAAAAGTAGTAGCAGAATAATGAAATGCATTATTCTGGTCACAGATGTATTGAATACTGTTGCCTACATACTAGGTGATGAGATGCCCTACTTTTGTTGGGGAAGATTTTATAATTTTGCAACCAGCCTATGTATCCACCAAAAGGTAAATTAAAAATATTTAATTTGGGAGGTGCCACAATACTTGCCTCACTATAGTGTAAAAAAGGCAGGCTGCTAGCCCCATCAGTGAATCTGGAAAATTAAATGCTATGCAGGAGAAAATGATCTGTAAAAATGATTTTCCTCCACACAAGGCAAGGATTTCTTAGGGTGATAACTTTTTTGGATCAACGGCATAAGTGGAATAGAGCCGGACAAGCTTTTGAATGAAGATGTTCGTCATCTTGCCTTGCATTCAAAAGCTTGTTTAGCTCTATCCCACCAATGCAGCTGGCCCAATAAAAGATATGAACCAAGCAATTCTTGCCTCCTGCATAATTCCTGGACCATCACAGCTACAACATCTGTCTAACACCACCACTTACTTCATCATACAATTTCAAAGTATTTTGTGCTTTGGCTCATGTTTGGCCAATGTTATTTGCTATAATCAATCATATAGTGCTGTTAATTTATGTAAATGTGTATTACTATAGGAACTCAGGATCAGTGCTTTGATGTGACCATACAGAAGTAGGTAAGATACATGTCCTAAACTGACAACAATCTAAACAAGACAAGACAAATGATAAAAGGAAGGGAAAAGTGACTTCTTGAAGAGTATTTGAAGGACAAAAAGAAAATGCTTTGGAGATGAGGGGGAAAAGAGAGACTGTTTCACATAACAGCATGCTCTCATGTTTCCAACAATTTAAGAATGGAAGATGATGTGAATGGGACTAATCTAAACAGAAAGGGTTAAGTATAAGAAAGGGGGAGAGGTAATGAGAACAAAAAAGCACGTAGAGGCAAAGTTATATTGTGTTTAGGTCATGGGGAAGAACAAGGAGTTAGAAATGGATGCAGTTAAGTATATACATCTATACTGCAGTCAAGCCAAACTAGTCATGTGAATCAAAGCTAACTTTAACACAGCCGCTTGGGCAGCTCTAGAACTGTACCCATGGCAATACAGGGTTCAACAAGTATACAACAAAACTCATCCTGGATAAACATTCAGGAGGCTAATTTGCACTTTGTTTTGTGTTGCGGTGACTACAACAATATTGGTACCTGAGCTAGGCACTTTAAAGGTAGTAGGAGTATTCTTACACAAGCTGCAGATATAGAATCATAGGAAAGTAGGGCTGAAAGGCATCTCACAAAGGCATATAATCCAGTCCCCCTGCTAGATCATGCCTGACTAAAACATCTCAGCCAAGTGTCTATCCAACCTGCTCTTGAAAATTTCCAGGGATGAAGATTTCACAATTTCTCTAGTTAACCTGTTCCAAAACTTCATCAGTGATCGCCCTTGTAGTCAGAAAGTTCCTCCTAATCTTCAACCTAAATTTCCGCTGCTGCAGCTTGAGTTCACTGCTCCAAGACAATCCTCTACAGCCACAGAGAAAACCCCATCTCTATCTTCTCTGCAATTGCCTTGTCAGGTATTTGAATGATGTTATCAAATTCCCTTTCAGTCTTTTCTTCTCAAGATCAAATATCCCTAGTTCTTTCAGTCTTTCCTCATAAGTCTTGCTTTCTTGGCCCCTAATCATTTTTTCTTGCTCTGTGCTGGACTCTTTCCAAACTGTTTATATTCTCCTTGAAGTGTGGGGACCAAAACTGAACACAGTACTCCAGGTGAAGCCTCACCTGTGTTGAACACAGTGGAAGAATCGCTTTCCTTGATTTCCAAGTGACACTAGTATACTATTGGACCTTTTTTTTTTTTTTTTTTTTTTGCAACAAGAGCACGCTGTTGATTCATATGCAGCTTATGGTCTACTGTTACCTGCAGGTCTTTCTTTGCAGTACTGTAACCTAGCCAGACTTCCCCTAATCTGTATTTGTGCATGAAATTACTTCATCCCAAGTGCAGGGCTTTGCACTTGTCCTTGCTGAATTTTATCTGGTATACACTCCAGAGTATCTAATCCAATTTGGCGTCATCTGCAAATTTGCTAAGCATGCAATCTCACCATTCAAATTATTAATGAAGATGTTAAACAATACTAAACCCAGGACAGATTCCTAGGAAACCCTACTTGATACCTCCACTTGAGTAAGCACTGAGCTATTGATGACTACTCACTGAGCATGATAATCTAACCAGGTATGTACCCACTTTACCAACAATATCCAACCAGTTATGTATACACTTTCATTTAGTCTGTATTTCCAACGTTTGCTAATGAGAATGTAGTGGGAGATGGTGGCAAAAGTCTCATTAAAGTCAAGGCATATCACATCCACTGCTCTCTCTCCATTCACAGAGCTTGTCACCTTATCACAGAAGAGAACCTGGTTGGTTCTCATGACTTCCTGTTGGTGAATCCATGCTGGCTGTTCCTGATCTCACATTGTTCTAGGTGCTTTACAAGACATTCCATGAAAACCTGCTCCATGCTTTTCAGTCATAAAGACATACCCAAAGTCAATGGAAAGTAAGTCAGTTACAGTAATTGTGACAGGCATACACAGCACAAGAACAAGGATTTTAGCAGCAATGGCAGCCTGTATAATAGACCCATAACACAAGAACTGATGCATTTTGTATTCGTCAATTGTAGGAGCTAATAATTTCATACTGCTTCATAATTTCTGATGCTCCCTTCACATTAAAATTATAATACCACTCACCAGCACCATCATGGATCAAGTTAAAAGAGACTGTTCATTATAAATCCCTATTTTCTGTAGCCTCCACCCTGAAAAAAATGTTCTGCAATGAACTGCAACACAAATGGTTTCAGACTGAGTGGATCTTTTTCATCACACAAAAAAACAAACAAAACTTGATGAGCATTAGTATCATAGGCATACATGGTAGTCAATGTTGCTTAAGACTTTCTATTATAAGACCCTGTTTTTACTTACAACTTTGCCAAACTTTAACCATGCAGGTTGACATTTCCAACATTGGGCATCTGAATTTTTCTGGAAAGTTTTAGCCATTTCCAAGTATAAGGTTATGGGAAAATACTGCATTTCCTTTGTTGTAACATTTTACAAAAAATTCTAGTGCCTTTATGTGTTGGAGCTACAATTTGAAATTTGGAAGAAGGATTGCTCTCCTGTCAGGAATGTGCATTTTGCCATGCCTGGGTAAATCTGCCCAAATTTGGCTTATGCTACAAGCCCTCAAGAATCACAGCTGTGCCATTGGAGCTGTGCTGTCAGGGACCTGAACTGAAAGCAAAGACACTGCTTCTTCTATCCTTTCAACATTTACCTTTTTGGCACTCAGGCAGAAAGACTGACTTTAATAAAGGAGAGGAGTA